GTTTTTTTTTTTAGGTTATTTAGTTAGTTAACAACTGTAATTTATTTAAATATGTTACTCGTTTATAGGTTACCTTTCAACTGTGTGTACTTTAAATATGTTGACTTTAACGTTCTCTTTTCTGCACCATTTATGTAAAACTATTTGCGTCATTGATTAGTGTCTTGTTTTATGCGTTTCCAGCTAACTATAATAAATTTTCGAAATTTAGGGCCTGTAGTTACGTTGAGTACAGAAGAAGTATAGGAGAAGAAGATGTGCAAGGAGATGACTATCGTATAACTCTTCATTCCTTATTATAATATATAATGTGTAGCTAATATAGATAACATAAAGTCGAGTATTTAATTTTGCAAGTTTAATCAGGCTAACCGCAACGCTCCAAGCGGTAGATTTGATAGACAACAGCTGTGCTGCAGCTCGACCATACTGCGGTATGATGAACATTTGCATCTGTAAACATGTGATATACTGGCAACATTTCAAGTTTCGGTTTACGGTTTCAAGTGTACAAAACACTAATAAAAGTTTCCTCGTCTTAAATCACAAGGAATTCTTTGGTTCTTCTCAATATCTCCCGAATTTTGGTAATCAGTGAAAATATAGGTTTATCGGCAATCACGGGGAAGGTAATTTTCATCAAAGCATTCTGTATTGTAGTATACTCAGACGGTGATGACCTCCTAGCATGCTCGTGAGGGACGTGAAAATACAAATACGTTGTTATCCTAACCACAGTTGACATGAAGTGTATCTTACACGATTGTTATCTGTTTTATCTCGTATTAAAAGCTTTACTGTGCAATTAATTCTATGTACCTACAGTTTCAGTTGTTTGTGTTAATAAGTTTTGATGGTTGATAAACATGCTGATAGCATGCCCATTTTACAAGCTGCAATATAAAACATTTATTTTAATGATTTATATATTTTTCAACACAAACCTACATAATGGGCTATCTGCGCTATGCCCACCACGGGTACTTGAACCTGATTTTTAGCTTTATAAGCCTTCAGACTTACTGCTGGGCCACTGAGGTTTTTTGTTAAGCACAAAGCTATATCATGGGCTAACTGTGTTGTGCCCACGACGGGTAACGAAACCCGATTTTCAGTATTTTAAGCCTTCAGACTTTTTGATGGACTATTTAATATGGAATATTGCTTAATGTGTTTTCTTTTATGTTGACGGCAAACAATATAACTTTTCTTCCTGCATTGTGTTTAATTGTCATTATAACACAAGGATTCAAATAGCCTGGAATACCCTGGTTAGGGTTGTTTGACCCTCAATTGACTATCTGCCTTCCCTCTAGCCTTTCACTGCTAAATTAGAGACGGCTAGCGCAGACAGCCCTCGTGTAGCTCCGCGCACAATTCTAAACCAACCAACAAACAGTACGACTCGCAGACTTTTTAAAACGCGTACCATTAATTAAATGTGTACATTTATTTGAACTAATACACACTAAGGATTGAACAGTACACAAATATTAGATTATTTCACCCCTCTGCGATATCGCAAAGAAAAATAGTTCCTATTCCTAAATTCGACGCTATAAATTGCTAAACAACTCATAAAAAAATAGGTGGCTTCATGACTGTTATCAAAAATGTTATTACACTTGTACTGTGTCCAATGTACTAGTAGAGTCTCTTATATAAAAGAGTAAGTAACGGCTTACATTGCTTATCAAATTTAATGACTACCTGTACTTAAGTTTGATTGGATAAAGGTAAATATTTAGCGTATATCACGCATAATTTCTCCAGCTTTTTGTTCTGTTTACTCCTGTGACTACGGGGCTGAGTTTAATCATTTGATGGATTATTTGAACATTGAGGGAACCTAGTAAATATTGCTTCCATTTTAACTCCATCGTTTAGTCCACGAGGATAAATTATGGGGCTGTTTTCGAAGAAATATGAAGGTCATTCTAAACATACTGTTACGACACAGACGTCACGTGACGCTAGTAACACGTGATGATTATCTAGAAGATTCACGAAGATACGAGGGTAATCTGGATGTACGCTTTTAGAGTATATAAGCCGACAAACAAAGTGACGGTAAGAATTGCAGACAGACAGTAGTGACCGTAAGTAAAGTGCTTGAATCTTTGTGAATTATAGCGTGTGTTAAAGTTAAATTAAGTGTATTGCAAAGTTGAGTTGAGAAAGAATAAACTAGTTTTATTTAAGAAAGGACTTGTATCGCTGAAGTTTATCGGAAAGAATTTCTACGGAAAATTAACAAACGAACACAGAGACGTAACAATACGAATGTTCGTCAGGCTGCATTCAAGCATTGTTAGACTTTTCACATGTTTGAATAGTAATCGCACGTTTAATGTTACTCGCATGGAATATTTGATCTTGCGATTTGTATAATGTTCATTACTTAAACGAACGTTGGTATATTAAAAAAAAAAAAAAAAACAGCGCTAGGCGTATCAGCTTTTTTTTCCTTGCGTTGGAGCTCTAGAGTCTAGATCGTTAGGGTAAAGCATTGGATGAGAGGGGAGGGGTACTTTAGGGGGCTGCATTGTTCCAATTTATTTATACGTATTTATTTTCTAACCGAAGTGTTACTGTTAATCTTCTCTGATTAGCTGCTTATTTATAATAATAATTATTTATCTATTTATTTGGTTGACTCCTTTATCCAAGGCATATTTTTAAATAAGTAAACGTGTTTAAAAAATGTTACTGATAATACTATCCCCCTCATTTAACTTTTTGTTATAGTTGAAAGTTCGTATTTGTCATCGAACTGTTATTTTTCCTCTGTTGTGTTTTGCTGTTTATTTATTACTAGCTTATGACGGGGCAAGTAATACCACTCCCACTCCATAGTAAACCCAACTATAGCTAACTGAAATAAATAAATTTTGCGAACTCAAGTTCACCAACAAAGAGGCAGAAAGTGCAGTCGAGGCAGTCAAACGTCGGTAAGTTCCTTTGTGAGCCAATCAAAATTAAGATCATTCATGAAATGAATTCGTGGTGTATTCATAGAATAATTATTGGTAAAAATCAGTTAGATTAACAACTTCTAATATATAGAAAAGTCAGTGTGTTTTGGTAACACTATGTTCCAATAATGGCTTCATGTGATGTCGCTTAGCAACAAAAGTATAATCTAATATTGTCGTTAGTCTATGTGCTGAAAGTATAAAATGAAATGTATAGACAACAAAACTGGAAAAATATTTGTTGATTTCTTAATTTAGTGTCTCCATTGATCAAAGAGGTTTGTTGATTAATAAAAACGTTGGG